AGGTGCCACTTTCCAAAGAGGGCGGTGCTGTAGTTGGCCTTCTGCTGAAGCACCCGGGCAAAGGTGGTCTCAGTTTGGGGAAGTCCACCGGAGGAGGCCACGAAGAAGAGGACTCGGTTGCGGCCCGGGGAGGTCATTCCTGATGAAGGTGTTTTGGTAGTGGTGATGAGGCTCGAAGTTAATTATCATCATCATCTGGGACGTTGTTAGTTTTCAAGTGTGTTAGTGGTGGTGTTTGTGGTGGTTAGTAGAGCACAGAGACAACACAGACATGAGACGGAGGACGTTTGGTTAGGTCTTGGAAGGGATCACACAGATCACAGATACTTTGGGACTTTAGTGGGACTTTACCATATCGAACCGGAAGGCGCCCGGTGAGGAAAGCGGCCCTGGAGGGCGTGCAGACCGAGGCGGCGGTGAGGTGATGGGTCAGACTGACGCCCTCCGCCGCCAACCGGTCAATGTTGGGCGTCGGCAGGGTGCGATTGCCCATGGCGCCCAGGTCGCCGTAGCCGAGGTCGTCGGCGATCAGAAGAAGAATGTTCGGTGGTGTCTTGGGTTGTTGATCTTGTTGTTGAAGAGCTGAAGAACAGTCCACCATCATTATCATCAAAACCATCCCCATCATTCCCGTCCCGAGGACCACCTGAAGAAATAGAACAGACGGAGTTTTATTGCGAGCAACTCTGAGGAGGATTTTGCTGAGGAAGGGACTGAACACTTTGAGTTCGATTTGGCGTCATCTACTCTACACAGGACTTTCTACTCTTTTTTAAGCTCAGTTCGAAGAGTCGGTGAAATTTTTGTTGGCCGCTGCAGCTTGGCTTTCCAGGAAACTAATGTGCCGCTGGAGGATGTCCTCGACGACATTGCCACCACCACTACTTCCTCCTCCATCTTCCGGTCTTTGGACCTTGTCGTCAAACTGCTCGCCGACCGTCCACAGCGTCTCAATGTCGTAGTAGGCGCGCGTCTCCGCGAGAAAGACGTTCAGAACAATGTTCTGCAGGTCAACCAGGCGCCAGTCATTGCTGGCGTCGTTTAGGTTGAGGAACGGATCTTTGCGGCTCTTCTTGATCTTGTACAGTTGGTTTAGGGTTTCGACAAATCTCTGGGTGATAGGAAAAATCAGTCAGTAAAAATAGAAATAGAAATAGAACAAGAGGCATCGACAAACCCTGATGTGCTTCGCCGAGGCGGCCGTGCAGAGGACCATGTACTCGCAGTACTTCAGCTCTTCAGGCACCTTGATGGTGGCAATGTCAGTCATGTTCTCTTCGCGAAGCAGGGCGATCAGCTCTTCAATGTCAAAGACGCCGCGCTGGCCACGAAGTTGGCCGGAAGCTTTTCGGTTGGCCAACTTTGAATCATCGTCCAACTCTGTTAAAAACGTCCTCTTCGGCTTCTTCTGCTTCTGATTGAGAATGACGTCCAGGTCTACCGAATCGTCAAAGATGATCTCAGTGTCCTTGTCCTCGAAGACCTGGTAGCGGTTGGGCAGCAGCTTCCGCGCTTCGGCCAGCTTGGTGGCCTTTTCAGGGTGATCATCTTTATCCGCCAAACTATCACCATGTTTACATCGTTGAAGTGGCAGCCGCAAAGCCGGCGACAAAAGCGGAGAAGGTGGTAGTAAAGAAGACCGTCTCTGAAATCTACTTGCCTGGTGGAGCAGTCGCCCGAGAAGCAGCCTCATCTTCGTAGTTCAAAAAGTTGCTGACTGAAAGACTGACAAAGACTTTGAAGCTGTCCTCACTTGAGAAGAGGAGAAAGACTAAGACGCAGTGACAAACGTCAAACAAAAGAGGAGACAATAAAAGATCAAAGAACGGCAAAGATTTGTTTTGCGTCTTCTCAGAAACGCACGTGACAGCTTGAGAGTCTATTTCCACTCAGTAGCTGTTTCAAAACAAAATCTTCCAAAATCGAAAGCTGATCCACAGATTCTTTTTATCAGCTAACCTAAAGTCTATTTACAGATATTTCGAACTCTTCAGTTGGTGGCCAGCCTCGCAGTGCTATCTCCATCACCTCCTCCTCACTCCTCCTTCTTCGCCCCCTTTTCACTGCTGACGATGCCCTGCTCGATGAACTTGATCTCCTCTTCAGTGGGCGGCGCCGGTGCCTCCTCGCGAACAAACGTCTGCCTGATGGCCTCCTTGGGGGCGGACCACTCGGGGACGATCTTGGAGTGGAGGCGCCAGCGGCCATTGTAGTCGGAGATGTTCTTCTCGAAGACGGCGTACTCCAGGACGTCCTTCACCACCGCCTCGCTGCCGTGAATGAGGTGGGCGAAGCGGTCGTAGACGGCCAAGATCTGCCGCGTGTTCAGGCGGACGGTGATCTGCGCGAACATGTTCTCCTTGTCGATCATGCTCTGCGTGCGCATCTGAATCACCTCGGGGCGCTCATTTTGGCCGATGTACGTCCAGCGAATCGTCTTCCGCTCCGTCTGGTAGGTCATCAGCGGGTAGGCGAACTCGGTGACGTACTCGAGGAGGAGGTCGTCCTCCTCGCGACCGATCACGCGGTGCTCGCGCCCGGCGGCCAGCAGCTCGTGGGCGCGAATGTAGATCTTCTGGGCGTCCTCGGCGAAGGTGGGCACGTCAAAGTCGTCCTCGTAGGCCTTGATCTTCCGCAGGGCGAGCATCGAGCTGCCCTTCTGCTTCAGGTGCTTCGCCTTCTGCTGGGCGCCCTGTGGAGCAGTGAAAAAGAAGTAGAAATCGAAATTAGAGAGGAGATGTTTTTGGAAGTTCTAAAGCTCACTTACCGCCTTGCTCAGCACCGAGAACTTGCCGTCACCCTCGGGCGGCACGTACGGATCGAGGACGCCCTGCATTGTCGTCACCGAAATGGGCTTCTCCTTGTAGCGCTTCGGCGGCGCCACGCCCCGCTCCTTCAGCTTCGAGGTGTACTCCTCGGCGGTGAGTCGGGTGTCATCGTGCAGGCGGTCAAAGTCGGGCAGCTCCACCTTGAGGATCTTCTTGGCGCGCGCCCGCCGCCACTGGCCCTCCAGGCCGACCGGCCACGGCTTGATGTTCCGCGACTGCAGCGAGGCAGAGGTGTGCAGCAGGCGGTGGAGAGAGCCGGAGGAGAGAGGCCTCAGGCCTCGGAGCAGGAGCATGATTAACTAACTGGCCGGAGGATGATCAACAGCAGCAGCAGCTCTTGATGAAGTTCTTCAGTCGCCAACACGAAGAGATCCGAGATCAGAGAATGTTTTGGTCGCCGAAATCACATGTGATTGGCGGGGCGGCCATTTCGACAGACAGGTGGTCCGCTTGTGATGCGCTCGCGCAAACGCCGAAAGCCGAAAGTAGAGTCTTTGCTTCTGAGCGACAAATACGGGCAGGGACTACTAGCGCCGTCTGTCGGACAAGTTAACACCGTTTGCTTATGAATACTAACGCATTATCTGTGACAATTATTCAAATCAGAAACTGAATTTGCTCGCTTTTTTGTTGAAAAACAAATGTTAATATGTTAAATTAAAATTTGTTCATTGCACAAACTTGCAATACAAAAAATGTGATAACTTTGACCACATTAAAAACGGTTAACTCGTTCTNCCGAAAGCGAAAAATAAACAACAGCTACGACTCACTCAAACTCAGCTTCCTCAGCTTCCTTTCATCAATCTCTCGTTTTCTGTTTTCAGCCTTTCCGGAACATGCTTTTTCAGAATATCTGATTCGATGCACACCTTCATCTACCGATCGCCGTGTAACAGCTACCGGACACAGATCTTTCAGCTGCAACCAGGGTCGCCCACCACCGCCACCAGTGCCCAAGCGATAAAGAACTGCATTTTGGAGAAAGAGGTAAGAGAGTACTTTCCTTTTGCGGTTCAGTGCTTTAACTAACTTTCACTTTATCAGGGACTTCCTCCCGGGACCGAGCTGAACGTGTGGATCCAGACCAAACGCCTGACAGACGATGAACTTCTACTCCCTGCCCGAGATGATGACAGCTCCGGTTGCGGCGGCTCCTCCCGCCGATTCGGATCCAAAACCGAAGACGCCTCCTCCCTCGCATCCTCCTCCTCCGCTTTTTCCTCGCCCTACACGTCCTCGTACCAACTGGGCCACGACACCTCGACCTGGCAATCGACGATCACTGCCACCACCACCACCACCACCGCTTTCCTAGACGTACGCCTGCCGTTGGTGGGCGGGAAGGGCGGCTTCGGGTCGATGCTGCGCGCCATCGGCGCCCAAATCGAGAAGACCACCAACCGGGAGGCGTGTCGCGACCTGAGCGGCCGCCGCCTGCGCGACGTCAACGAGGAGAAGCGCCTGAAGGAGTGGGTGAAGCGACAGGCGGAGAAGAAGGACGAGGCGGGCAAGAAGAAGAAGGAAAAACTGAGGCGGCTGGCAGAGGCCACCGTGCCGGCCAGTTGCACCTACGAGGACGAGGAGCACGAGCGGACGAGGGCGGAGATACCGGACCTGGTCGAGGAGTCGATCATCGTGGGGCTGCAGCAGCAGCAGAAGCTGAAGAAGGAGAAGGAGCAGAAGGAAAAGGAGGGCAAAGAGCCTCCTAAATCGAAGCCTGAAACGAGCACTAGTGAAAGTGGAACAAAGCGCAAAGCCGACCAGCTCGAGGAGGATGAACAAAGCAGCAGCACCAGCAGCAGCAGTGGCAGTGGTTCTGCTTCGGTGGTGACTCCAGCGACTTCAACGGTGGCCTCTACTTCTCAAGCGGCCACTTCACAGAAGGCCACTTCTGCATCAAAAAAGCCCCATGCCATTAAGAAGCAGGCCCTCTGGCTGGGCGTGGACATTGACTCGGAGGAGGACAGCGACTCGAGCGACTCGCAGGACTAGGGCAAGAAGGGAACAACAACAGCAAAGCTTATCAAACAGGGAAACAATTACCTCTCGCCAGCATCATCATTATCATTTTCTCCTTTTCAGCAGCTGCAGTCGATGAGCCGTTGCCGAAGTAATAACCACCAACAACACCAACACCAACACGTCCAATTTCTGGTTGGCAAATCTGTCTGCACGCACCAGCGAATCCACTGAATCCCCTGAACCACAAACTCGATGTACTACAAGAGCCACCACCACAAAGCCATGTTCAGGATAATCGATTTTCATTTAGCTCTCTCTCTCTCTCTGTCTCTCTCTCTGTCACACACAATACAAACACGGCATTGATTTCCCTTCTCAGCCAAGTCTTCCTCTGTTGCTGTCGTCAGCGGCGGAGTTTCTGCTGAACGACAGCACATTTTTTATTGCCAATATTCACCACCACCACCACCTAACTTATAAGTCCGCTGATCATTTCACGCAGCTTTATAATCTCACTACTTTTCATTCTCTCTCCTCTCTTTTTTCTTCCAGTGCCAAGCCAGCTAATGTTCTTCAGTGTGATTTGACAGTGTGTGTGCGGTTTCCCTCCTCCTAAAAGCCAAAAGCCATTACTGCCTGACTGACTGACTGACGCAGGTGAAGAAGATGAAAAATGCCATGCTCTCGCCCGCCCGTTCTAGTCAATTTGGGCGAAGACTGTGTCTTCGGCTGTGTTTTCGAAGAGCGCCCAGCAAACACACACACACTAACGAAGAGGGACACGCAGCCCCAGAGAGAGAGAGAGGGAGAGATATTGATCGACGCCGATTGCCGCTGGTTGTCTGCTGTTGAACAAGACAAGACAAGAGGAGCAAGAAGGGAACACACTGGGGAAAAGAAGGCGAAAGAGCTGATCGATAGACGCAGATAGAAGAAGAAGAAGAAGTCAGGGGAGAGGGAAACCAGAAAAGCAGCAGGCTGTGAGGACATTGCGTGCAAATTGGCAGCAGACAACAAACAACGGTCTCTGGCAAGAGTGTGTGTTGTCTGGATCGCGTTATTTGAACCCCTCAGCGAGGAGGAAGAAGAAGAAAACGAGGAGCAAGGAAAGGGCTGAACACGAGTGTGTGTAAAGAAGCTGCTGAAAGCGAGCTAAGAAGTGGAAACTCTAGCCGATTAGAGAGAGAGAGGATGGATCAGAAGAAGAAGAAGAAGAAGGATACTACTCTGCAACTATGGGCTATATACCACACCGCCACCACCACTGTGTTCCCTTTTTCAGCCAGTCAGTTCAGTGATAGTGCTGATAGTGTCAGTCACTGGAGCGAGTATTGCGAGGGTGGTGGACGAAAACTCCGTGATGAACAGCAGAATCACTGGTCCTTGGAGAACTTGGTGAACTAACCAACCAACCAGCCACCAGTCTAGGCTATTGCTCAGTGCTTCCATTGATGCGGCAGCAGCCGAGAATCCCCTTCCTTTTTAGAACTCTCAAAAAGCAAAGTGTTGTGAGCAGCCAAGTGAGGAGAAGGACGCTCACTTGAGCAACCGAAATGCTGCTGGTCCTGGAACAGAAGAAGAGGAAGAACGTCGTGAGGGTGTATATAGCGGGCGGTCCGCGGTCTTCGTCGTTTCGATTTCACCCGATTCTATATATCTTTTTTCGGGTAATTCTTTCTCTGCACTTTGTCGCAGACGAGAGGGTAGCAGCAGCAGCAGCAGCTGAAACGAAGAACAGAAAAAAGTGCTAGGCAAATAACACAGCGGACAACGGCGAAAAATGCAGTCCTGGTTTGCAGACTTCTGTTCTTCCCAGTCTTGCTGCTCTCGTGAAACTTTCGGTGAAGCGGACTTTACGACCAAAACGTGTGACGACCACGACCACGACCACCACTGCTGAACCTGCACCTGCAACCTCTTTCTCTCTCTCTCTCACTTCAAGCAAACACAAAAGTTGTCGTTTGCTTTGCTTTCCCTGCTGCAATGGAATACGGCTCCTTCTTCTGCTGTTAAACACATCTTCACTGAACACACACACTGAAACACGGCAACTTTCTCTCTCGAACTTGGATTCGGGAAGTACAGCTCTTCTAGCAGCGGCAGCAACGGCGTCAAATCGAACCCAAACGAGCAATGAAAGAGAGAGCCAACTGAGTAGCAGCAGAAACGGCCGCTAAAGAATGCGCTGAAGTGAGGAAGAAGAAGACGTGTGTGTGGTGGACGACGGCGACGACGACGACGACGACGACAGAAGCGACCACGAATACGAAAGGAAGAGAAGTGAGAGAGAACGGTCGAAAAAATAGAAGTTGTTGTCGGAGAGAATCAGCAACGGCAGCAGCAGCCGAATTAGAAACAAAAACAGAAGCAGAAGGAATCTTCTTCTTTGCACACACGCTCATACGCTCACACGCTCGCTTTCTTCACATTCTCTGTTCGAAATTAAGTTATCTTTGGCTTCCTTCCTTCTTCTCATTNTGCCGAATTAGAAACAAAAACAGAAGCAGAAGGAATCTTCTTCTTTGCACACACGCTCTCGCTCATACGCTCACACGCTCGCTTTCTTCTTATTCTCTGTTCGAAATTAAGTTATCTTTGGCTTCCTTCCTTCTTCTCATTCCTTCGCCATCTTCATCTTCTTCTTTATCCCCATTTTTGCTGCAATTTAGCTGTGTGTGTTTGTGGTTCGGCTGCTGCTGTCGCTGCTGCTGCTCTTCATCATCATCATCATCATCATCATCATCTGTGCTGCTCAAGTGAAGAGCTGCCGTCGCCGAGAGTTAGAGTTAGAGAACTAGAAAGAGAGAGAGCGGCCGTCTAACTAACTAACCACCGAGCAGCACTTTTTCTGCTGGTGCTGGTGCTGCTGATGATGGTGACAAACAACTCATTACAAGCGGAAAAGTAGAAGTGCAAGTGGAAGAAGAAGTGGAAGAAGAAGTGGAAAGAAACCGTCTGGTCGCCAAAGAACTTTGCCGCCAAAGAGAAAAATATCCTCTGCATTGCTCAGTGCCAACCGAACAGAACGAGAACGAGAAAAAAGTCAGTCAAGAGTGGATACAAAGTCGCCGCCGACACTGAACACACACAGCTGCAACTGAGCAAGCCATTTTTTTTCGATGTGACACAGATGAGAACTAGCAAAAAGTAGCAGCAGCAGCAGCCGTCGCCGCCGCCGCCGCATCCTCTTCGTCCTTTTCTACCCGTCTTCAACGACTTCAACTTCTTCTTCTTCTTCTTCTTCTTCTTTGTCGACTATTGGCCCCTTTATTTTTAGCTGCAATTTAGCAGCAGCAGCAGCCATTAGCTGCAGAAAGCATCAGCAGCCACCGAGGCAACCGAAGAAGCGACCGAAGAGGCAGCATCAGCAGCCACTCTATTACCTCCGCGTCGATTAATTATTCACATCGTCATCCTCCTCATTCTCCTCATCGTCAACGAGCGAACGAGAGAAAGAGCGAGAGAATGATGAGATAGAATCCAGAACTCAGTCAGTCAGACAATTCTCTTTCTCTCTCTCTTTCTGGCCAAGGTGCACTTTCACTTTTCCACTTTTTCATCACATTTTCAGCTAAACTGCTGTGTCTGGTGGAACCAGAATTTGCAGACGGTGCACCAAGCACTGAGTTTCTTCTTTCATCATCATCATCCTCCTCATTTTCATCACCATCATCGTCAGTAGATTTGCCCTGCTGCCTTGTTTTGTTTTGTTTTGCCGTGCCACTCTTTTCTCCCCTTCTTTTCATCCTCTAACCGTGGATATTATCCAAACACAAATACACACACACAAGCACAAAGACCAGCACAAACAAAGCAGCAGCACACCAAAACAAATAGAAGATCGTCGCCACCGTTCACCAGGCAACGACAGTCGTCGTCGCCGCATCAACATCAACATCAACATCAACATCAGCAGCAGCCACTTTTGTGCTGTTTTTTTCTGCTGTACTCTTTTTCCATCCACACCTGTTTTGCACGTACTCTCGGCGTCCATCACCAACAGAAGTAGCAACAACAGCAACAGCAACAGCAGCAGCAAATCATCATCATCAGCACCACCACCACCTTTTTATACAGCTCCCTTCCTCGTAAACACCTCGCGTCTTTGCATTTGAATTTTTATTACATTTCTGCCTGCTGCCTCTGTCTGTCTCTTAAACGACTGCTCATCATCTTCTTCCTCCTCCTCTTCTTCGTTATCGCCATCACGTACGTGCTGGCAGTCACAGCTGCTGCTGCTGCTGTTGCTGCTCATCGACTCTTTCCTCCTCTCTCTCTCTCTCTCTATTTTCCATCAATCATTCATGGGCAATGTTGTTGAATAGAGACAGCACCAGCAGCAGAAGAAGCAGCAGAAGGAGAACCAGGAGGAGAATCCAAATTAAATTGGATCGTTTTATTACCACTGCTACTGCTTCTACTATTCACCTCGCTGCCTCCTCCTTCTCCCGACTTCACTGAACCAGCACTGAACTGTGAGGAACTGAAGGGAAGAAAGCTGCCTGTGACCTGTGAGGCAACAAACAGTTCTGCTGTTTTTCATCTCCATTCAACGTTGGTGACACCACAACCTCTTCTTCAGCTGTTTTTTAAATTCAAAACTACGAAAAAAAATCACTGAAAATTACAAGGAGTTCCTCCTTTGGAACATCTTTTTTTTGTTCGTCTACTAGGAAATGGGTTGTCCACTGAGCAAAAATGGCAGCGAGAGCGACAGCGGCGGCGGAGGCGGAAACACTGCAACGACGGCAGGCACCGCCGGAAACAGCTCAGCAGGAGGTGGGGCGGGCAAATCAGAGAGCGGAAACAAAAACGGAGAAGGAGGTGCCTCAGCGAAGCCCGCCGACCCTCGACTTCCGCTCAACGTTAGGCAAAAGTTCAACCTCTCCAAGTCGTGGAAGGGCATCAGCAGGGAGATGGAGATGACCGGCGTGCTCATGTTTGTCAAGTAAGTTCGAGCAGCTTTTAATTTAGTAGTTCCCTGCCTTTCCTTTCTTTCCGAGCTTGTATTTTCTATTTAGTTGAGTTCT